ATGGCCATTTTAACTATAGGGGCTTCTTGCGCAAGAAACTCATGTTGCCTGTGTACACTGGCCTCTTCTGGAAGAGCTCTTGCACAAGAAGGAACGTCAGAGTTCTCACGCAAGAAACCCTGATTTTCTACAGTACAACGTCAGTTTACTTGTGCAAGTACATGTGGCCAGGGTAGACAGGAGGCATGTTTTTGTGCAAGAGCGGCCATTTTCGCGCAAGAACGTGCCAGTGTAGAGACAGCCTTAGAGTACAGAAGACTGGCATATGGTAAAATAGCCATACAGGACTACTGTTTTGCTCCTGTTTTACATCTGACCAATTACTTAATTTAAACTGCTCAATATGGTACCTCTGTGCAGGGGTCTTTAGTAAGACTTCTGTTAATTGCTCATCTCTTTCCTGATCCACTAACCATCTTGGTTTAGGAACAAAACAGACTGTATACTCCATTCATCATCGTGCATCAAAGAGGATCCACTATTCACTATTAGTATTGGTTTATATGCGGGAGTAGGCAGTTGTAATAATTTCCTCTAATGCCCAGCAGGGTCCATTCATTATAAAATAAGTTTAACATGATCTTAACTGACCAGAAATATATAGTAAAAATGTATGGAAATGGAGGCTGTTAAGATTTCTTGATAAAATAAGTGTTGTTAGCACTTGTATAAATTGTTTGGTGTGTGGCAGGGAAGAAGGGTGTGATAGAGAAAAGAATGAGCAAGAGAGGACATGAATAACAGAAAAGGGCTGTATTTTACATATTTTTGAAGTATATATGCTACATAGCTATACATTAAAGAAGTGTTTAAAAATGACAGACCCCATGGCTGATGATAAAAGCTTCTGTGAACTTTGTTATGGGAAAGCCTGAAAACATATTGTACAGAAAATATCTGTCTCAGTTAATTAATGCTACATTTTCCTTGCAATTCTTACATGTTGCTTACTTGTATTGACTACACTACCACAAAACAAACACAAACTTAAAAACAACAACAACAACAACAACAAAACTATAGCTTAAACACACATCTGTGCAGGAAACTAGATCCTGAGAAAGGTTTTCTTGCTGCTATTAACCTTGATGTCTTAACCATATACACAAAAATATAATGTGGAGGGAGGCACAGGAAACATTTGCTAATGCAAAAACAATTGACTGAACAGATGAACTCATCTGGAACAGCTTCAAAATATCGAAGTGGAGGTAGATCTTAACTGAATTTCAAATCCAGACCTGATCAAACTTGGGGGAAGAGTATTTGTAGTAATTGAAATCAAACCCCTAGATCTGAACTTGTCCCTATAATTTTTAGCTGTTATTTGATCTGAAATGAAAGAAGCCTGATTTTCTGGCTCTGATTCAGATTTGGATCAGATGGAAACCATAAGAGAACAAATGTTCTCACTATTATTTTTTTTGTCATTTTAAAAGAACAGTTTGTGAAATTTGATGCCATTGAATCCACACATAAACTTCAGTGAAGCCAGATCCACGGTCCTACACTTCTTACATTGGTATAATTATGTCATTCAAAGGTTTGGATAATCCTCAGTATAGACTGCACTATGCCAATGGAAAAATTTCCTCATGTCAACATAGCTGTCACCTATTGCAGAGGTGGATTAACTATGCTCCACTAAAGCACTGAAGCAATTTATGTGTAGACCAGCCCCGAGCTTGCCAACAAACTGAATTCTGAAACCACTTCCAGATCTTAAGTCAATGTCCTTAGGTACAGCTGTGCTTTGAAATTATATAGAGAAAAAAAATTCAGAAAAGCACCTAAGTGAATCAGGAGCCTATGGACTTGTGCAGGTGAATACTTAGTTTGTGGGACATTGGCAAAATTTATCCTGCTTTAACTTGCTGCATGATATGCATCTTTGTGGACTCTGCTGCACTGAAAGTTTCCTAGTGCACATAATTTGCTCTAGTTTCAAAGCAGAATACAGCACATTAGGCTAGGGCTAGGTCTACACTACAAAGAAAAGTTGAAAAAAGATACACAAACTGTGAACCGCAATTTGTGTATCTTTTCCCGCTTTTCTTTCAAAAGAGGCTTTTCTGAAATTTGGCCCGTCTACACAGGGCCAAATTTCGGAAAAACCTCCTCTTTCGGCACATCCCTTCTTCCTCATACAATGAGGATTACAGGGATGGTGAAAGAACGCGTCCGCTTTTTCAGAAATTGTTCTAAAAAAGCAGAAACCTCCGGTATCCCGGAAAAGCTCTGCAGTCTAGACATAGCCTAGATGTTTAGAGCAGGATCCATAGTCAGCAGGGCCAATAGCCACCTTGGGCCCTGGAGCAAAGTTTGTGTATGGGGGCCAGTTCTGCACCCCTGGAAGGGACAGGGTCAAAGGTGGAAGGGGCATGGCCAAGGACAGTTAGCCCCTAGCACCACTCACACCATGGCACAACCTTCCAAGCCCTCAGAGCCATACAGAGTGGTGGTCCAACACTCTGGTGACAATTCCAAGGGGCCTGCAGTTCCAGCCGCTGCTGCTGCAATTGCAATGGCATCTGGGAGTTCTGGCCCCTTTTGAATCTCTGGGCCCTGGGACAAATATCCCCTTTGCCCCCTGTTGTCGGCAGGCCTGTCCACCTTAGGCTAGTGAAGGCCCACATTTCTGTGAACTAAGTGTGCATCTAGATTGAGGCACTCAATTATTTTTTGCCACAGTCCAAATTTATTGGTCAAGGTACAGTCAAACCTCAGTTTCCAGAGCAACATTTTTCACTCTGCAATAACAATGATAATGATAGGTAAATTAAAAGAGTTTTGAATAGATCACCATTCAAAAGCATCTGGGGGTCTAAATTTGGCCCATGGTCTACCTATTGACTACCCCTGATAAGATAAACCTTATGTCCTATTCAACTTCTTCATCTTGGTCTCTGAGGATAGAACAAGGAGCAATGTGTTTAAACTGCAGCAAGAGAGGTTTAGGTTGGACATTAGGAAAAAGCTCCTAACTGTCAGGGTAGTCAAACACTGGAATAAATTGCCCAGGGAGGTTGTGGAATCTCCATCTCTGGAGATATTTAAGAGTAGGTTAGATAAATGTCTATCAGGCATGGTCTAGACAGTATTTGGTCCTGCCATGAGGACAGGAGACTGGGCTCGATGACTTCTCAAGGTCCCTTCCAGTCCTAGTATTCTATGATTCTATGATTCTATTGAAAATCAATTACTTTAGGCCAGTGGTTCCCAAACTTTTCAGCATCATGCCACCTTTTTGAGAAACCCTCATGCCTCCTTCCCCCCCAAAAAAGAACTGACCAGGGCCAAAAAACAAAAATAGCAGCAAAATTTATGGGGGAGGGATTGATGGGAGGAGGGGAGGGGCTGGGGTGCCTCACACCCACCCTGAAATTTATTCACACACACACCCCGGGGGGCATGCCCCCCAGTTTGGAAACCCATGCTTTAAAAAATGAATTTCAATGGAACTTTGGCACCAAAGTGATCTGGTACTTTTGAAAATAGGACTGAGGCTCTTACATCACTTGGGGTATGTCTACACTACCCTGCTAGTTCGAACTAGCGGGGGTAATGTAGTCATCCGCAGTTGCAAATGAAGCCCGGGATTTGAATTTCCCGGGCTTCATTTGCATGAAGCCGGCCGGCGCCATTTTTAAATGCCGGCTAGTTCGAACCCCGTGCCACACGGCTACACGCGGCATGGAATAGCTAGTTCGGATTAGGAATGAGGAGCAGAGCTAGTTCGGATTAGGAAGCCTAATCCGAACTAGCTACTCAGTGCCGCGTGTAGCTGCGCGGCACGGGGTTCGAACTAGCCGGCATTTAAAAATGGCGCCGGCCGGCTCATGCAAATGAAGCCCGGGAAATTCAAATCCCGGGCTTCATTTGCAACTGCGGATGACTGCATTACCCCCGCTAGTTCGAACTAGCAGGGTAGTGTAGACATACCCTTAGAGTATGTCTAGACTGCATCCCTCTGTCGGTTAGAGGGATGCAGATTAGGCAGGTCGACATTGCAAATGAGGCAGGGATTTAAATATCCTGAGCCTAATTTGCATAAAAATGGCTGCCACATTTTGCTGACTCAGCACTTTTTCGGCAAAAAGAGACAGTCTAGAGGGGGATCGGTCGAGAAAGAAAGCCTTTTTCTACATATCCCTTATGCCTCCTGCTATGTCGACCTGCCTAATCTGCATCCCTCTGCCGACAGAGGGATGCAGTCTAGACATACCCTTAGACACTTAAAAAAAATTCTCATAGTCATTGTTCAAATTTTGTCAGGTACATGGACAATCTTAATTGTTTGTTCTAGGTGGTATCCACTGCCACAATGCTTTCAACTGGAAAAGTCACAATTGCATTGACCTATGTGTGTTAGTAAACCCTATAACATTCCAAAAGCTGCACGTCCAAGAATAACATAAACATATATGGGGTGTTTATTATCTGATGCAAAGGTTGAATATTTGTGGGACAAGTGTAGCATTCAAATGTCATTATTTGCTTATCTCTTTGCTCTCAGATATTCAGCTCCTCCCTTTTGTACCTCTGCCTTCTATTTTCTAAAAGCAATTTAAAATCAATGGCTATTGAAATGGGCAGGTCATGTAAAAAGTCCCCTTAATCAACAAACCCACTGTTCTTTAAATAGTACTGAATTTTGGGAATGGAATTTGAATGTTTCATAGAATAACTTTGCAAATGTTATGTTGAGGACATGGTGTCAGCAGTAATACAAGAACACAAAACATGGGAACAAAAATGTGAACTTCTCACATTTAAAAAGCTGACAAGAAAGGAAGATGCTAGGGGAACAAGAACAGCACTCCATCGGCACTGTCAGCTGAAGTTAGATGGCAACACAGCCACCTGACCAAATAGAAACATATGGCCCTTGGTAATAGTAGTTTTAACAATTACACTTGCAAACAACATTATGTTTTGTAAATATTGCAGTGATGTTGATTTCTCTGTAGAGTAGTTGTGTTTGTTTAAATGACACTAACCTTTAAAAATAATGTATTCTCTTCCTCTTGAGATTCTAAAAATTGTTCCTCTGATAGACAATCCTCTATCCATGGGCTGGTAGGCTTTTATAACAATATTTTAGTCTCCAGAGTTGACTTGATTAGTGGTTCCTTCATGTCCTCTTCCTCAGGTTTGTCCTCACAGGTCATACCCAGTTTTATAGAGCTCCAGGGGCAGGAATCTTGATTGCTGATAGACTGTGGACCAAACATTCTTTTTAAATGCTTTAAATGCTTATGTGCAGGCTATGTGGGAGCATCAATAACATCTCAGTTTGCATGTATTTTTGGGTATCGTTAATCCTGGATATCTCCAAAGAGTGAGTGATTTGAGTTCCTCCTAATTGTGAGTAATGTGTTGGTTATGTTGTGGAGAAAAAATGATTGGAATCAGACTGAACTGTCTTCATCCATGAGGGCAGAACAGAGGATTTTGGGAGCAAACACTGCATTGCCTCTGTTCGGACTTCAGATAGCAGTGCACTCTCTCTGAGGAATTGTGGCTGTTGGAAGAACTTGTGCTACAACCTGTGTCATGTATCCACATTTAACCTGATGAAAGCTAGTGAGTGGGGAGGTACTGGAACAAGAGCTAATAGAGATTTTCCAAGCCTCCCTTAAGGAGGGGAAGATGCCAGCTCCTTTGAATGAACCATATAGTGTTCTGTGCTCCAGAAATCATCACCTGATGTTGACTATTTTACTAACTATGAGCCTATACCTAATCTTCCTTTTATAGGTAAGATTATTGAAAAAGTTGAAACAACTCTCATAATATCTAGATGCCTCTGATTTCCTTGCCCTTTGTAAATCTGGGTATCTGGCTAAGTATGGTAACAATGTCTGTGATAATTGCACTGGTCGGTTGTTTCCTCCTAGTGATGGATAAAAATAAGCATCCTTTTCACTACTGCTAGATTGTCTGTTCTTGAAATCTTTGTTCTCAAAGTGTTGCTAAAGTTCTTGCAGACCTTTATGGGGCATGACTGGAGGTGTCTGAAGCAGCTTCATTCTGATCTCATAGGTTAGACATTAGGAAAAACTTAACTTGTAGGGGAGCTAATTCCTAGAAAGTGACCAAAGAAGGTTGCAGAATCCTTATCCCTGAAGTTTTTAAAGAACAGATAAGACCAACATGTGTCAGGGATGATCTAGATATACTCAATCCTGACACAGCACGGGAGGTAGGGTGGGCTGGAAGAGCTCTCAAGTTCCCATCCAGCTCTACATTTCTATGATTCTGCAGTCCCGCTGAGAGATCCCAGATAAGAATGTCCATATGTCACTTTTTGGGATGCGAGTCACACCAGTGAGCTATTGTGTCACTGCCTGTCCGTTAATCCTGGGTTGCTTAAAATGCTCTGCTGCTGTAGTTCCCTTGTCTGGATGCTCCCAGTCATCATATAAACATGTAGTGAGTGTGTGATAGTCATCCCTGGTTCAGTATGTCTGACTCCAGCAGCCTGCTTGTAACATGACAGCCACACTCTGGTCATCACCACTCTTTGTTAGCAGGCAAGTGACCCCAACACACCTCCAGTCCTGAATTTCCCCAAAAGTATCTGCCCTGAAGTGTCCAGTCCTCTGAAAAATAAAAAGGCTTGTTTGTTCTTTAAAGAGACAATAACCAGCAGCTTGCCTCATTAACTGGAGTTAGAAAATTGCTTCAATTCAAACACAGCACTGGATAATATAGATTAAAATTAATCATATTTATTAACAACAGAACATAGGTTAGATGGTGCCAAGTAATAGAACTAAAGGTAGAGATGGTTACCAGCAAATAAAAGTGAAAACATTCATTTAACTGTCTGAAACTTAAGCTAGCAAATTTTTATTCATGGCTTTGTTCAAGATGGCCGTTCTCATGCACAGCCCTCTAGCAAGATGATGACTGACCCACTCCTTCATCAGGATCTCCCCCAAAGGCATAAATGTATAGCTGCCTTTATCTTCTTGGGTAAAAGAACTTGAGTTTTTTGCCCCTTTGCTTTATAGTGATGTGAGGCTTTAAAGTGGACTCCTTAAAAAGTTACCCTTCTGATTAAGGTTTATTCAAACACTGAAGTCAGGTGATGAAGGACGCGCCATCCTCTTTCCTCCCCCAACTTGTGTTTGCTGAAATGAAAATATTTCTGTTTACTTCATTTCCTTCTCTTGCTGTCTTGAGGACTTTGTTTACCATTTATACGTAAATTGAGGAAAACACACATTTCTTTGTTTTGGGTAAGCATGTTTAGAATTTTTGCTTAGGCAGGGCTGGCTAGCGTTGAACAAGTGCAAATACAAGGGGAATTCTTAAAATGTTGCTTCAGACATTTCACAGATCAGAACATTGTTTTCTGATATCTCCCAAAGCATATTTTGTATGAAGATTATTACAGTAGTGTGAATATGGGGTTCTTTTGGTAACAATGGTACCCTATTGTGTATGCAATTTCAGTGAAACTAATCAAAAGCTAGAACCTAATACATTTATGTTTAACTCTTTTCACAATGTAGCTCTATCAACCTCTAAAAATCAACCATTTGCCATTTTTCAGCAAGAATATTTTGCTAATTCTGGGCCCAAACTTGCAACAACTTGTATGTGTAAGTAATTTTACTCAAGTCAATTACCTCCCCAGGCTCCTTAGAAATCTTAGGCACACATTGCTGATTTTTTTTCTGGCTCAGTTGAATGGCAACGCAAGTACCGCCAATAAAGGAAATTAAATAGAGTTTTCAGTGGAATAGTTCTTTAAACCTTGCTTCAGTGTACTTATGATCATCTCTCACTCTAAGTAGCAGGCAGTCTTAGCCTCACATTTCTCAGAATGAAAAGCTGAGGCTGATTATCACAACTGCTAAAGTATAGAGCTAATTACTTACTTAACTATTGCAATATAACTTTCTCCTTGGAGTCTTGCAAAAGAGGGTTAGGCCTTTTGTGTAACGTTGCTCCTTGGAGTAGACCCATTGAGCTAATGGATTTTAAAGCCCAGAGGGACCATTATGATCACTTAGTGTGACTTCTGGCATAATACTGGTAACAATAAAATGCAGCAAAAAACACATTTAAACCTTATAGGATATGTCTACATTGCAGTTATTCTGAGTCTTATGGCTTGTGCATTTTGGGCTAAGGCAGTGTTTCTCAAAACTCCATGGATTCACTCTGAGAAACCTGCTAACTGGCCACTGCGGTTTGTTTATTTACTGGCTCTGCAGCCACATGGGCTTTCAGCTGTTCGATTCAAATTCGAACTAGCGGAGCGCTAGTGTAGCGCATAGGAAAGTTAGTTCGAACTAACGTCCGTTAGTTCGAACTAACTTTCTAGTGTAGACATACCCTCAGTCAGAACCATCTCTGGAAGTATGAGGTATCAGTTTCTCTTGTCCTTGGTGAACAATAACTTAGGGTATGTCTACACTACCCCGCTAGTTCGAACTAGCGGGGTAATGTAGGCATACCGCACTTGCAAATGAAGCCCGGGAAAATATGAGGAGTAACTATTTCAAAATAAGGTCTTTTGAAATAACACTGTAGAGTTTTTTTCGGAAAAATGGTCGTTTTGGAAAATCTTTTCCAGAAAAGCTTCTTCTGAAAGAAGCCTGCAGTCTAGACATAGCCTCAAAGTGAATGGAAGCACCATTTGTATGCAAGTCTGAGGCAGACCTGTTTTCTACTTTAGTCAAATGCAGCTTTTAAAACATAATATTGGAGGACATCCATAACTCCTCAGGTAGCATCATCATACATATTCCACAACATTACTGACCAGTGCATTGCTAATTTCAAACAACAGCTCACAAAGCATATTTTGCAAAAGCAGCAAGGAGTCCTGTGGCACCTTATAGACTAACTGAGGTGTAGGAGCATAAGCTTTCGTGGGCAAAGACCCACTTCGTCAGATGCATGTAGTGGAAATTTCCAAAGGCAGGCCAGAATAAGGCACATGATGGTATATATTACGTTGGTAGATGTGCAGGAGAACGTACCAGTGACAGTATGGCTGATCTGGTTAGGTCCTGTGATGGTGTTGCTGGTGTATATATGTGGGCAGAGTTGGCACCGAGGTTTGTTGCAAGGATTGGTTCCTGAGTTCGAGTTACTGTGGTGCGGTGTCTAGTTGCTGGTGAGAATATGCTTCAGGTCGGGGGACAGTCCATGGGGGTGGGGACGGGCGAATAAGGGGGACGGTCAGGACTGGGCACAGGGAATGGGGAATGGGGTGGGAGTGGTAGAAGCCTGCCTGGCCTCACCCTGAGGTGGTGCTGGGGGGTGGAGGGGGTATGTGCCAACAATGCCCCACTGCTATATACATCGGCCAAACAGGACAGTCCCTACGTAAAAGAATCAATGGACACAAATCTGATATTAGGAATGGCAACATACAAAAACCTGTAGGGGAACACTTCAATCTTCCTGGACACACAATTGCAAATCTAAAGGTAGCCATCCTGCAGCAAAAAAAATTCAGGACCAGACTTCAAAGAGAAACTGCTGAGCTACAGTTCATCTTCAAGTTTGACACAATCAACTCTGGATTAAACAAAGACTGTGAATGCCTCGCTAACTACAAAAGCAGCTTCTCCTCTCTTGGAATTCACACCTCCAGATCAGCTTTTAGAAGTGGGCCTCATCCTCCTTGATTGGATCCACCTCGTCATCTCCAGCCTGATTCTGGCCTGCATATTTCTACCTGTCTCTGGAAATTTCCACTACATGCATCTGACGAAGTGCGTCTTTGCCCACGAAAGCTTATGCTCCTACACTTCAGTTAGTCTATAAGGTGCCACAGGACTCCTCGCCGCTTTTGCAGAGTCAGACTAACACGGCTACCCCTCTGATACTCGAAAGCATATTTTGTATAGATATCATTGTGGTAATGCATAGGGTGTGAAGACAGGGGTGTGTAGGGTCACACTGGCGTTGCTTTTCTTCAATAAGAGAACATTCCAATGGCATCCTGAAGGTTTTCATCTTGTTCTCTCCTTTGTTCAACATGTACATGAGGCCATGAATAACATCTGTGCCGCATGACTCTCTTTATTTCAACTCAGTGGTACACTTGAATGCCTTTCTTAGTGTCTGGTGCACGAGACCATAGATGAAAATAATCTGGCTGAGGTTCATTCTGGATACAAGAGTTGGTGTAAGTGGACTAGTCTTGGGGAAAGATCTTGGAAGGATTATTATCTGCTTTTCTGATTGTTTGCCTGCCATTTGTTACTTACATATCCAGGGTATCAGTATGAGACAGGATTGCCTGTATTCATTTGCATCTAACTAAGAGGTTGTAACTTCCTTTCTGATGCAGATCTCACTGCCATGATTCATTCCTTTTTTGATGTAAAACTAGATTACAGATACATGCCCTGCTTCAGGCTTCATTCTAAATCAATTTGGAAACTGTGCACAGTACAATAACCAGGGTAACTCACCAAGTGCACATTGTAGAGGTGATCTGCCACAACTTTCTGTAGGATTCCGGGTAGAATTTCAGGTGCCAATTATGACCTATACAGCTCTTTGTGACCTAGTAATCCTAGTAGAACTACTATTCCAGTAGTGTATTAAGTGATTTGAGTGATATTCGTCACTGAGATGTGGTTTCTCAATTGGGGAGTCCTAGCATAGAACTCACCTTAGGACTCTCCATTTGACAAAACCACATCTCAGGCTAGATATACACTAAAGGCTTCTTTTGGAAGAAGCTTTTCCGGAAGAGATCTTATGAAAAACCTTCTTCTGAAAGAAAGCGTCTACACAGCAAAAGTGCATCAAAAGAGCAATCTGCTTTTTGGAAAGATAGTGTCCACACTGAATGGATGCTATCTCGCATTTAAGCCGTGATTGCTATGGACAGAGTGGCCACCAGGGCAACTGTGCTTTTTCCTCTTTCCTCTTCTTTCAGAATAACTCCTTCTTCCCCATCCACACACACCTTTTTCCAAAAGATCTCTTTTGGAAAAAGGCTTCTTCCTCATAGAAAAAGGTTTACCAATGTCAGAAAAAACCCTCTGTTCTTTCAATTTTCTTTTGAAAGAATGCGATTGCAGTGTGGATGTAACTGGAGTTTTTTTAGACAAACGACCGTTTTTTCGGAAAAAAAACCTGTGCAGTGTAGACATACCCTCAGGGTGTGTCTACTGTCTAGACTACATGGTTCCTTCGACAGAGCCATGTAGATGAGTGTACTCGGCAAAGGGAAATGAAGTGGCGATTTAAATAATCACCACTTCATTTACATCAAAATGGCCGCCGCGCTGTGCCCATCAGCTGATTGTCGGCACAGCACGGTAGTCTAGACGGGGATCAGCTGACCCCACATCCCTTTGTCATCAGATCCTTTATCTGGACACAGCGCAGTGGCCATTTTGATGTAAATGAAGCGGTGATTATTTAAATCGCCATTTCATTTCCCTTTGCAGAGTACACTCATCTATATGGCTCCGTCGATGGAGCCATGTAGTCTAGACACACCCTCAGTGACCAATATCACTCAAATCACTTACTACACTACTGGAATGCATCCAGGCACTAGGATGATGGCAGCAGTATTGGGACAGAACAGAACAGTAGAGGCACTTAACCTGCAGTTCTTTTGGTTGGGAACTGCTGAAAGGAAGGGAGCTGCTGGCAAGATGTTCTCTTTGGTTGGCCCCTTAACTCTGGAACTCATCATCACTCTTTGTCTTCAAGGCATGCTACAAGGATCATGGTTTTAGGCAGACTTTGGGGGAAAAGGAAGATGCTTAAAGGTCAATTTTTCAGGAAGAAAGGGAGATTGTTCCCCGGAACCAGACTTTTAAAGGTATTTAGGCATGTAATGCCTATTGTGAGTTAAGCGCCCAAGTATCTTTAAAAATCTGGCCCTTAGAATTTAAGAAAAGCTCCTTCTCCATTTATTCTACATCTCCTTCCACAAATATAATACATGGATACAAATAATGCGAGAATAATTATTCTTGACTTTGCTGCAGAAACTGGTCAATAAAGTAAGTGGGTTGTGCCAACAAAAGCTCATGACACTATCTACAGTTTTTAGTTAGTCTCTGAGGTGCTGCAGGACCATTTATTGTTTTTTAAGTTTTTTTCAGTTACAGACTAACATGGCTACCCCTCTGGAGCTACAGAAATTAGCCTCAATAGGAGTGACACAGAAATGTGTGGTTTTTCATTACAACAACAATGATGAGTTGTCCCCCCTTAACTACATTTATAGAAATGGTTTGTTTGTTGTCAGTCAACAAATTTAGGTCATTTTAATCATAGTTGACATATTCTGGCATTAGATTATATGGCCAGAACATGTTGTTTCAAATTGGACATAATAATACTAATAGGTTTTGTCATGTCTTTACACTTAACATTCTTGAGCTAAAAATGTGCACAGATGCACAGAAGATGTTTTTGACTATGTCCTTGCAGAGGGGTCAGACAGAACAAGGCATGAAGATAGAAATAATATTCTTCTGAAGATATTTGTTAACTTGATTGCCCCTGCAGTTACTCATGCTAAATAATATTTTAAGAAATTAGACTTTTCAGCTGCACAAAAACTTAATGTCTCATCCTTTCATTTGGTAAATCTGATCATCACTTCACAATATATACAGATTAAAATTCTCTTAGGCGGCATTCTGTTGTCCAGCAACATCCATGATCTGGATGGATGTTGCAGGATCCATGGATGTTGCAGGACCAGAGAGTCCTAGTGGAAGGCCAGCAGTAACGAACCCCGTGGGGCTGGCAAGGCAGTGAGCTGCCCTCCTGGAGCTGACAAAAGGGCTGCCCAGCACGTAGCAATGGGACTATCCTGTGGGGCTGGGAGCCCCAGCCTGTGGTTTGCGCATGGCTGCCCAGGGAGCCCCGGCGTGCAACACATGGGGCTTCTCATGGAGCCCCAGCATGCCATGTCAGTTATGGCTGCCCATCCGGTCGGCAGGGCAGCAATGCTAGCAGGAGGTGGGGAACTGGCTAGAAGGCTAGCTGCCAGAACAGAGGGATGGTGGCAGGGTTACAAAAATGACCTCCCCTGGTCTGGCAAAATCCCTCATCTGGGACTAGTCAGGTCCCAAGTGCCAGACCAGGGAGATCCAACCTGTAATATCCAGACATGTGTATATATCCTGAATCTTAATATATCACAGACTTCTCATTCCATGCTGTCTGTATGTGATGGCCACCCATTTGACCAACATAAACATAACCATTAGAAACCTTCAGTGCTATAAGCATGAACATCTATAGCCTGAGAAAAAAAGCCAGGGCTCTTGGAAACTGTTGTTGGAAACGGTAGTAACTTGGTATATGTGTATTAGAACAGAGGGGCTCTTGTAAGACACTCACAATAAGACACATGTACAAGTCTCTTCTCCCCACAGTACTCCAAAATGGTGAAAACTGTGGATCAGATTCCATGTTGTTGTTAATTCATTGAAAAATCCTTCTTAATTCAGTATTAGGGTGAATAATTTACAGTGAATAATTGATAAGACAAATTTAGTCTTTTTTCACATCTGCAGTATGTGCAAAGAGATTGTGATCTCCTTCAATGAATGTTTTATTTGAATTCATTCCATGAATAACTTTTCAAACAGTTTACTTTGTGGCTTGAGGATGATTATTTAAAATGTGGGTTGTGTTGCTTGGCTATGATTGGCTATAGAAGTCATATGGTCTTGCTTCCATTTTTCCACTGATGAGTTTGGTAAAAAACCCAGGGTTAATGCTTTTATGTGTAAATTTAAAATTGGGTTCCCATGAATGCTGGCATCTGAGACTTTGAAATTTGATTTCCGCAATTACTGAATTCTTATTGTTTGAGCACAAACTCAGCAGGAGTCAGAGAAGATTGAGTTTTTAAGTTAATTAGCTTCAGAGGAATATTCATGGAATATTTTTGCTTTATTCATCCAGCTCTACTGAGCATCAAAACCCAAAATGGTGTTATAGTCTGAAAAAGTATAACATAATCATGACACATAATTGCTCGGTATAGATATATTTCTTTATTTGCTTATTTATTATATCTCAAGTCTTATTCTTATTTAATATATTTGCTCCAACCCTACAACTTCTTTTGTGTAGATAGATTGCTATGCCCTCATAGAGCTTTACTGGAGTCAATTGGTCTCCAGATACGCGCGCAGTCTGTTTGCTCATGAGAAGCTGCAGGACAGAGGCCTTAAACTGTTATAACACCCTGAGATTTCAAGTCTGCATCCCATTGTGATGGGATGGATCACAGAAGTACTCCTGAGGCTGTCACCTGCTATGTTGGTCACACCACTGAGCCCATCTACCTACACTCCCTACCACCCTGTCCTACTGGACCAGAAGCTCGTCTGTGGGATGGCCCAGCTATAAGACCATTGACAGCAACCACGAACACAACCCCAAAGAAGACCAAAACCCCATATAAATTCATCTTACTCTATAAGGGTATGTCTACACTACCACCCTAGTTCAAACTAGGGTGGTAATGTAGGCAACCGGAGTTGCAAATGAAGCCCAGGATTTGAATTTCCCGGGCTTCATTTGCATCCCGCCGGGCGCCGCCATTTTTAAAGCTACACACAGCACGGAGTCCGCACTAGCGGACATTTAAAAATGGCAGCGCCCGGCGAGATGCAAATGAAGCCCGGGAAATTCAAATCCCGGGCTTCATTTGCAACTCCGGTTGCCTACATTACCACCCTAGTTCGAACTAGGGTGGTAGTGTAAACATACCCTAAAAGTTTTACACAGAGAAAGCTTATAAGTTCATTCTTTTCATCAGTGAAAAGGAGATATGGACAGGGGTTGTTCTTTCCTCCCCAAGGTAATGATTATTTCATAAACCAATTTTCATAAACCATAGGAGTGGGACATGACACACATTATAGTAGGTTGTAGTACAAACAATTTTAAAACGAATTCCTGAAATGTATCTGCTGTCTTTAGTGTGGCATATGCATATGTGTTTACTTGAACACCTAAAGACATTTATACTTTAGTTACCATCAAAAAGCTCAAGATTACTGAACTGGGTTCCTATCTGCGTAATCAATAATCAACAAAATTGTCAGCGAATTTCTAGTTCTATAATCTTTATAAAAGAAAAGTGATCTATGGCATACAAAACATGTACAAAAGTAAAACAAACTCCCCCTCAAATTAACAGCATTTTCTCAATGTGCTATATACAAATGTTTGCAGTTTTGTTATATAACTTAGCAGTTTTGCATTTCAGTATATTTTTGTGAAATGGACCAGTTTCACATAAAAACATATGAAAATTCAATGTATTTGCCCATCATTTAAATGCAGAAACTGATGTCCTTCTGAATAATTGTTTATTCACATTTTGGAGGGTTATGCTCATGGATTTGTGGTTATAAAGCCGTACTTTGGGCCACTCTAAAGCAATTGAAATTCTGAATGAAAACTTTAACATTTCACAACCATTTTTCAAAATAAGAGCAATGAAGTCAACTTAAAATGAAAGTTCAAAAGC